AACATGAGATTGGGATAGGTCAAGGTGGGAGCTGACAGGGAAAGATCATTCTAAAGGGAAGGTCAAGGGCAGATGCACAGTAACTTTGCAGGGAAGCAGAGCATCTGAGTTAGCATAGGGAGTTGATTGGTAGCACAGCAAAAGTAGAAGGAACCTGGCCTGCCAATGGAAGAGAGTGATCTGGGCAAGACCGAACCATGAGGTCCAGAAAGCCAGAGAGTGGGAATCCCCAGAGCAGCTGTGGCACCTGACAGTGCTCTAGCCCTACTGCTGTGAGGCCCACCCATGCACCCATAAACTCTCTCTCCCCTTCCCACTGCACGTGCATCCTCACTCTCCTCTACTTGAGTTAGTTTGACTGGGTCACAGGTCCTCGAGCCTTCTGCAAACAGACAATGTGTCGGTGTTCTGAGTCATGGAGCACACTGGCCATTCTTTCTGGCTTTTACTATTTTACAGTGTGTCCAATTTACAAGTATTAGAATGCCTTTCTCTGACCCTCAGTGGATCTTTATCTTACTTTAGGGTAAATAAATCATGTTGTAGACATTGCACTGAACAACTTCAATTTGTCTTCATGAAAAATAGCACTTGGAAAATGGGCAGCATAGTGTGCTGATTAAGAGCATGGGCTCTAGAGCCAGACTCCTGAGACCCAACCCAGTTTCATTATTAATGAAGAGCATGACCTTGGGCAAGTTACTGCACTTCTCAGAGCCTCTGCTTCCCCATCTGTGCAATATGGATAATAGTGATGCTGACTTTGTATGGTTTTAGTGAAGATTATATGGGAAACTTATAAAGCAATTATAAAATTCTGTAGAAGGACTTACTAACCAAATGGACATTTGTTTCTCATGTAATATCAAATAAGATGGTTTGAATTTTTATAATTTTGATGAATGGAAAGAGAGACAAATTAGGAGATCTATCAAAACAAGTACAGATAGCTGTAATTTTTTGAGGATGTACCATGTGCCTTGCACTGACCAGTTACTTGACATCTAGTATCTCATGTATGTGGTCTCCATAAAGCTAGTTTACACTCCATAAAGCCAGTTAACAGAACATAACGCTTGCTCCTGAGAAGTTGCTGGCATGGTTGGGGTACCACAAACCATCCACTTTGGTTCCATCATCTGCAAAATGAGATGAGGCGACACCTAAGGCTGCTGTTTTGCCTGCTGTGAATGAATTTGGTTCCATCATCTGCAAAATGAGATGAGGCGACACCTAAGGCTGCTGTTTTGCCTGCTGTGAATGAATTCACACTCACTGGGCTAAGAGATCATGCCACCTATTGATAATTCCCAAGCCTTTTAAGTTTTGCCACTTCGTAACTGTTTGTGCTAAATGATACTGTAGATGATCAATACTACTGTATTTTGGGAGGTCTTTGAGGCCAAGTTATTTATTTTGGGCTGCTAGAGTGTTTTCACAGAAACAACAGCTTTCTATAAAGTGAGATTTCACATAGTTAAGGCAAAACCCCAAAATAAAATCATAGTGTTCCAAAAAGAAGATGCGTTACAGTCTCAAAGGACACCTAGTTCAGTGAGTTTGTTTCTACACTGAGTCCTAGGGGAAAAAGACAATGTAGTTCATGGCCAGTTAGGAATCCAGTTCCCTGGCACTCAAGCTTAGGTTCTTTAAGCTGCCCACAATACATCCAAGTGGCTAACTGACAAGGCTCCAGAATCAGACTGCTTGGATTCAAATCTCCGTTCTGCCACTCCATAGCTGGTGTGATCACAGATCAAGATAATGAGATGCTCTCCTCTCTATACAGCTGGTATACCCAGCCAACCTGCATCAGGATTAAGTTAGACAATACTTACAAACTGCAATAGCATAGCACCTGGCTCAAAAGGAGCCTTCAAAAAGTGGTGACAGCTACATACTCCTCTGCAAAGGGAAAACCTGAGGACAAAAGTGTAAACTTGTTCTCTTGCCTAGTAAGGAACACCAGCATATTCTGCTAAGAATGAAGGAGAGCAAAATCATTTTTTTTCTTCTGATTTAGATCTAGTACAAAAAAAAAAAAAACTCAGATGCATGTTTGTCCAAATTGCTCTAATGGAAGGGCTCTTCCAGCATCTATCACTGGGGATGACAAAAAATGCAAGTCTGACCACAAAGTAAAATTCTGGATATCCAGTCCTGGATAAATTGCCAAGTCCTTAGAAACACCTTCAGATGACATCATTCTCTTGGTTTGTTATTACTCAGAGGGTTTGATTACAGTGTGAGCCTTCCCAAACTGCAAATTATTAAATGCCAGGTGTACAAAATAATCACTTTCCTATTGGCAATATTTTTAAATCCCTGCATAAAATGCTTAACTATTACCCCATTGATTTCCTTCGCTCTCCCAGCCTGTATTTTCCAGTAACACTGGTTAATATCTCATTCTCTTTCAAGATCTTCAATGTCAGTAAATTACTATTTGTGGGACAGAATTATAATTATAAAAGAGTATGTTTTATACTGTGATTGATGGAAAAATATGCTTTTAACTTGCAGGGAAAGACCAATTTTCTGACACTTCAGCTCTATTTGCTCAAATGCATTACTGTTATAAAGCACCAATTATGGCTAATAATGGCATTATTCTCACCTCAATAAGTACTTGGTTTGATAAAGCTTTAAGAACTCTCAACTTTGGCTATCAATTTAGTTATCTACAGGAAATAGCCTATTTCATGCAGATTATTACCTTTGTATCATATTGCTCCCCAAGCTCACATACACTCAGAGTGAACTGTCACTCAGTATACATTTACATATACCTCTCACTATTAAGCTTGCCAGATAAAACACACACCCTAGAAGCCATAATTGTATAATATCACAGTTACCAAGGTTTGAGTTCATATCCTCTACCACACACACCCTCAAATCTTTCAGATTCTATAAATTAACTTCATACCAGACTAGGTAAAAATCATAAAAATGACCCAAATTTTCAGATTAGGGGGGTAACATGAGTTTCAGCTAAGTTCCAGTAGGAAGGTATTGAGTTCTATCTTACTTCCTGGACCTCACCATCCAACTGTCTCACAGGCCAGAACCTGGGAGTATTCTAGAATGCCTTCCAATCCCTCAACTTCTATGTCCAGTAGTTAAAGGGTATGAATTCCATCTTTTACATGGCTTTTGAACCTTTATTCTCTGTTCTACTGCCTCACCTTCAGTCATGTCCTATTTAATACTGCAGTACAGAAGCTTTTCCATTTTACAAGTCTGTAAAATACAAAATAAAAATATCACTGAACATGCATATCAACAGAGGGCAAAGACAAGACCCAGTGTGCCAGGACATTCTTTAGAGCCTAAGCTCTGAGAACTTCCCCCATTCCACTGTATCCTCACCCTAGCAAGCTTCTAGACTCTAAGTCTGATCACATCACTTTGTCTTGCTTTCACTTCTGTGCCTTCCGCTTGACTCTAAAGAAAGTTAAGTCCAACTTCAAAAAATATTTACTGAGTCTGATTCAGAAAGAGAGGCTAAATGTGCTCCAATGTTCTAGAACATATTCCCTTGGACCCCTATAATTCCATGGAAAGTGACCTACATCATCTTCTAAACTTAATATTGCAATACAGAAATATTTCTGCATTTTTCAAAGAATTGAACTATTTTTCCTCTTCAAGAAAGAAATCTGTAAAACTAGGTAATTTTCTGGTTAGTTTCCTAGCTTTAACTGCAGGAATTAAAAAAGCCATTCTGATACCAGAAGCAGTGTTTCTAATCTTGGTACACAGAGTCCAAATTAAGCACCAATAACCCGAAACGTGTGTGATAAACTAAAGGAACAGAGAAAAGATGCAGCCCTTGCTCTTCTCAAAATTCAGTCTGTCTGGGAAACACAAATAAAAAGTATAATCCAGAGTGATACGTATAATAATAGATACACAAATGGAGCTACAAGAGCATCCAGAAAAGGTTCTGCCAAGCAGAGAAGATGGAGACAAGCAGCCCAAGCAGAAGATACTGCCTGAGCAAAGGCGAGGCAGTGTGGCTGGGATAGGGTAGTAAGGATAAACATGAATTTTGTAATTCAGAAAAGGCAAATACCATTATCCTATTTGGGATTTTCACATGAAAACTTTACTGTTAATGGTGTTATGGTCACATTTCTTTATCAAACAGGATTTATTTTTACTGCCCAAAAACAATTACTTATTTTTGATATCACAAGGAAGGAAAGTTTTCTCAGGGCAGCAGATTACTTCCCTCTGTGCCCACCGTGAGATTACTTATATTGCCAGAAACACTAGGAAACCTCTAAGGGGAAAAACTCAGAATAACACCACAAATCATTTTGCCAGGATTTTCTTTTCAACAAGTAAATGTTCAGTCCGTGCAGCGGCCCTAAGGATCAACAAGATTTTGTCAAAGAAGCATGAACAAAAGTCTTAAAAAACATTAAGCACAGCTAGCCACCCTCCTCTCATTTCCATCCTACCCAGGAAGTGGCACAGAGAAATGCTCTCCTAAAAATCAAGGAGACCCTCAGTTAAACACTGTAATGGGCTATCAGGCATAGATAGTTAAAATTCTTCAATAATCCCTAAAGCCTAATTCAACTCAGATGCCCCAACCCTTTATCTCACAAAAACCTTTCACAATCTCTACTAAAATTTAGGAAAAAACTTAATACTTGGAATTTGTCTCAAGTATTTCTTTCTGCATGTATTTATCCAAAGTGCTTATAAACTATAAGATACAAGAAACACATTATTAAAATGGAGGGGAAGCATGTCAGAGATGGTAAAGGAGTGAAATACTTCTAAATTGGATTGCCAGCCTCTCTAGAATTTAGATTAGATAGAAGTCAATCCCCACATATAATCTGAACAGAAATACTTTGGAACCAAACACCAGGCTGCAAGATCCTTTGAATCCAACCACCCTCACTTTTCCACATCCTTTCTTCTTGCCCCATGAGTTTGCTTTCCCCAAGGAGAGCTAAAGAAATCTGTGTGGTTTTACTTACAATCGTGAAGTTCATGACTTTGAGAATCCAGATGGTCATGGCCAAGTTCACCAGTATTAAAATCATCAGGAGTAGGACAAAGAAATACAGGCACCTTTTCCGCCAGCCATAAATCCCCACTTTGTATACCTGTGGCCCCTCGGAGCTGGGCATGGTGCTACGGTGGTGTGGGTACTGTTCCTGAGGCATCTGAAATAAACGAGGCGAGAGAGAAGCACACACATTAAACTGCTGAGAGGAAAAAAAAAATGAGAGAAAGGAAAACATCAACTGATGAAGAGATATGGCTGGCTGCTGTCTGTACCTTCCCATCCTCCTGACAACTCTGAAAATCGCTCTCCTCTGGACCAAAGTGGCCCCTCTGCATGCTTGCGTGAGCCTCCCCAGTGTGCAGTCATCTCTCACAATGTGTGTTCAGTCATCTACATACACACATATCCTGGGAGGAAAGGGACTCCTAGGAAGCTATTTTCCAAATGGTTCTCAGAATCCCGGCATCATGGTGAGGGAGACCTGCAAAGTCCTACCAAAGTCCCGAGGGGACAATTTAGAATTCATCTGGGAAAATAAAACCCACTAGTTCATGGTGGTCACATAATAATACCATTGAGACAATTTATGTGGGCGTGGGGGTAAAATGACCTTAAAGAAAATTATTCTGTATTCCCAGAAAGTCAGTGGCAAAAGTAACACCTTTGATCTTGCCTCTATTTCAGGGTTCAAAGGGGTGCTGGTGGCATACAGATTAAATCTCACTTGCCTCAGGAACCTTCAACAAGTGATAGCCTGGCTTAAATGCCTCACTCGACAAGAGACCTTGCTGTCCTATGAATTAGTTCTCGTGAGTTACACAATTCTAATTGTTGTAAATCAATTCATTTATTTAATAAACATAAAGAAGGCTTAGAGTCAAGTAAGGTTTGAACATGTCTTCCAGGAGCCTGTAGGCTAATGGGGAGTGGGGTGAGGGGTGGTGAATTAATTAAAGAGTGACTACAGTGGAGTGAGATAAGTTAGATAAATGTTAGTCAGTATTATGTAATACGTCAATCCCCTTTCAAGTAAGGAAGCCTTCCCAAACCCCATTGCTGAAACAGTTGATCATTATAGCAGCACTACTAATACCAACACGAATCTAAGGAAACTTATTTCTATAAAATTCTAAAGCCAAACAAATTTTAAAAATCAAACGCAAAGCTACAAACATGGGTCATTCAAAATGAGAAATGACCGACCACTGCAGAGGATGATAATTTGCTAAAACTAAAGAGCATAAGGCAGGCTCAGGGGCTTCCGCACAGCATCTTCTGGGTGCATCGCCCCGGCTCCTGCTCCGCCACGGGCCATGTGACAACATGACCCTGCTGCTTTTCTCCATTCAAATTATTACGCAACCTTAATTTGGGGATTTTTACTTCATTTAGCTCTCACAGACGCATTCTGTATGCCCTCAGAATAAGGCCTGCCTCTGTTTATTTTCATCTTAGTCTACAGCGATTAGATTGGTGATAGGTGGTGCCAAACTGACCCAGAGACCGACAGAATGTGCCCTCTAAGATCGCATTCTTGGTTATTACGTCATCTTCCAGATAGTTCAGAATATGATTACTTTATGGTTTTGAGATAATCACTAAAATATACACATAAAATCTCAACCAAAACCCAGAGAACTCATGTCCTTTAGGCATCACTGGAATTCTGCTTGTGAAACCAGCAAATTCTTACTTACGGTCAACTGAAATGCTCAATGAAGGCGTCTAGGACATCTGTCTTACTCACTCCTCATTCACTACCTGAGGGTTGAAATTGGGTCCTTCCTGTGTGTAATGAACGAGTGAAAGAATGAATGCACAAACAGTGAACAAGTGATTTCTCACTCACTATGAAATCTGCTACTGCCTGGGGGTGTGCAAAAGTCCAAGTCAAACACTGTGGGAAAGTTCTTGTTTTTGTCCTTGAGAATTTCCGCTTCATGCTCCCAAAGCACTGGGTTCCCAACCAACCAGCAAACTACACCATAAGGGGGTCTCAGTTTTACTGTTCAGCTCCTCACAATTCTGTCAGTCAGGGCTGTGTTGTAACAACATGGAAACACAGCAAAGTCATCACCCACTGGCCTTTTTTACACACTGAGATCAATTAGAAGGAAAAAGAATGTCTTAAAAGTCTGAAGGAAATTAGGTCTTTACTTTCCATTGTCATAAGTAAATTTAGGAAATGATCACAGAATCTTAGAATCATATTCTCAAGGTCCTTCAATTCCAATCAGGTAATTTTAAGAATGACGTTTTTAAGACTAGAGAAGTTGACCCACTTTATGAGGCTACAGAGTTTGTGGGAGGGTAAAGACAACAATAATGGTCTTCGACTCTCATGGGATTCTTCACAAACGAGTGTATAGAAACTACAGATATTGCCACCATACCAGTTGCCTTTTCTCTGACATTTGCCCCACCCAGTGGGGAAATTACATAACTTAGCTATGTGAAATCACATGTTCTATAAATATTTATAAGAGGCTGGGGATATGGATGTCACAGTTGTGAATTTTTTTCACACACAGATGGCTAGAACTTGAATGCAGTCATTATTGCCACCAGGGACTCTCAGTCCTGGATACACATCAGAGGCACCCATGGAGCCTTTAAAATCATCTAATGCTCAGGTCAATTAAATAGTACTCACAAGGTAGCACCCAGACATCAGCATTTTTAAAAGGTCCCCAGATAATCCTAAAGCACAGACAGGGTTGCATATGACTGTCTAAATAACATCTCTCAACACTGACTATGCAGAAGAATGTAAAACATCTAACAAAAACAAATTCAAACCGTGAGCTCTACAACAGAATGAGAATTATTAAAAAACTCTGCCGGTCATTCAAAACATTTTGGACAACTTATCTAAAAAATGGTTTTCAAGATTTTGTTTTTTTTGTAGTACAACCACTTCAAGACAAGAAACTTGAAACATATTCTAGCATATAAAACAGCAAAGAAGGAGAGGTCCTCTGTTTAAAGTATGAACGAGGGCTTGGCCAAACTGAATCACCTTTGCAGAGTGCCTGGACTCCCAGGAACCACTGGTTTTGCCCAGTATGTTTACAGAGTAGCTGAGAAACTCAAAGCCAAGAAGAGAAAAGAGTGCTCTTTCAAATCACACAGAGGATTAGGAGCTGAGCAAGGATTAGAACTCAAATCCTGGGATGCATGGTGCAGCAGAGTATTCTGTGTGTGTCATGGGGGCTCTTTCATCTCTGCCACAGGCCCTGTCTACTTTAATGAGCTGCATAAAACAGAATATGCCAGTCTGCAACTCTGTAAGCAAAGAAACAAGCAAACAAACAGATAAGGAAGAGGGGAAAGGGTGAGTGATTTTGTATGAAGGATTACAATGGGCAGTGATACCAGCCAAACCTAAGGTAAGGGATACATCTGTTATCAACAATCCTGCACGGACAGGGAAAACTGGGATTTGCTGAGTATGTTTATTTTTGTAGTCGAAAGTTGAAACATGCTGAAATGATAAAAACATAAGAGGAAAGCCAATTTCCAATCTGTATTTCCTTCTCATCCTTCCCAGAAGAAAGAAATTTGCTGTTCAGAGAACAAAATCGAAGTTTCATGTCCTCTCCTGTTCAGGTCCCTTCCACGGCCCTGGAAGGGGACCCAGTAATGCATTAACAGCATTATGCATTTTTGTAAAACTGACTTAAACTAAGATGTTTTAATTGCAACCTATTTTTTTCAACTTCCCTTATGTGGGGTGGCTTTGGAGAATTTATATGCACTTTGGAGGTCTAACTAACAGGAAGTTGAATTGGAGGATTCAATTTGGGTGCAGCGGTGTGTATGTGTGTATAGCAGTACTGTAGCACTTTGTACACTATTGCTAGCTCCCCTGGTGTAGGATTGTGTTCTAGGAATCCACCTTTGTCACCAATTTACCGAGCATGGTTTCATGAAGGTACAAGACCCAAGGACACATTGCAATACAAATGTGTCCCATCTTGGCCAGCACCAGAAATATGTTGGTAGTTGTGGAGCCAGAGGCTAGCTGCAAATTTTTTCCTGGTCATCAGATATGCAAAATTTCAAGTGTTGGTTTCAGTTCTCATTGACATCTAGTCAAAACAGAAATTCACTGCCAAGAATGTATTTCAGTTCAGCATATAAAATTATAAGTGCTTTACACATTTTTTATTTTGTACAAGAATCACAGAAAATAGAATTAACTGCATTTCATAGTGTTCATAGTTACATGAACTGTGTGCCTACATTCTGAATGTGATGATGCACGCTTTATGTATCACCAACTATCAATTTTAAAAAAAACTAAGTTTAACTGAAATTGCCATAGGAGACAATTATTTCTCCATTCTATGCAGAAAATGATAGTACCAAACAGTTGTCATATGAAAATGCAAAGGATTTGCAACCATGAAGTACAGAAAAAATGTGTCAGATGGTTAATTATCAACAATAGTGTTTTTCTGCACTTTGTGATGTTATCTTCAAAAATGAGTAATTTGTTTCTCATTCAAGTATATAGTCATGTTTTTAACTTAATTCTGTATTTCTAGTTTTGTTTTTTGCTTTTTCTGCAAGACAGCTCAACAAACTGTTTAGCCTTCAGGCCTCACAAAACCTGGCCCCTGCCCTGGCCCCTCCCATAACGGACCCATAGCATACTTCAGGATCTCAGTGTACCACGACCACCACAGGACTTCACTGCTGGGCTGAACACAGTCAAAGATCCAGTTATCTGTGTTTCACTGGGAGTGATTTTCAGACTTTTGAATGAAGAGGAACCCTCTGGGAAATAGACTGAACACATATTCCTAGGCTTCACACTGAGATTCTATTTAATTCTACCTAATCCAGTGGTCTAGGAATCTGCATTTTTAACAAGCATCAAAACGGATGCTGATACAAATGGCCCAGGGACCCTGCTTTGAGAACATGAACTTAAATCCAACATAGAGATGCATCTGTGGCCCAGTCTTTGCCTCTGTTTGTGCTGTTTTTCACTGGATCACCCATCTTCCTCCCATATCCCTAAATATATACTTTGCCATCCCTCACATCACTGTGTGCCTACCCTGGAGCTTCCATTTCTGACATCCTCCTTCACCAGCAGATTGGATATTATGCATGCAGCCTTTGGTGTCTTAGGTTTTAAATGTGCAC